ATTTCATCCCTTGATCAATTCCCAAATTTTGATTTCTTGCAAGATCAATTTCCATGGGAATTTGAGTACTCCGAGCTAATCAATGACCATGTTGATCAGATACCAAGAAGTTCGTCATTCTTAGAAACTAATTCCTCTAAAGGAAGTAGCGAAGAAGGGTCCGAAGAAGACAGAACTAGCCTTCATTCTCATCCCACTAAGGAAGTAGAGCAAGGTGAAAGAATTCAATCGTTCAGTCAAAAAAGACAAGTTAGCATGTTTGATCAGATACCAAGAAGTTCGTCGTCCTCAGAAACTAATTCCTCAAAAGGAAGTAGTGCTGACGAAGAGGTGACATCATATTCCATCAAGAGAAAAGACGCAAATACAGACAAAGAAGAATTAAAAGATGAAGAAAAGCATTATATAGGAGTTAGAAAAAGGCCATGGGGGAAATATGCAGCAGAAATAAGAGATTCAACAAGAAATGGAATTAGGGTATGGTTAGGTACATTTGATACTGTTGAAGAAGCTGCTTTAGCTTATGATCAAGCTGCATTTTCAATGCGTGGTGCTTTAGCATTTCTCAATTTTCCAATGGAAAAAGTCCAAGAATCACTTCAAAAAATTAAGATGAATTCTAGCCAATTATTAGATGGATTGTCTCCAGCTGCTGCTTTAAAGGAAACACATAAAATGAGAATGAAAAATGTGAAAAGAAGAAGAAATAGGAAGAAGAAGAAGAAAGGAGTTTTAGTTTTTGAGGATTTGGGTGCTGACTTGTTAGAAGAACTCTTAATGAGTTAATCTCAAAATCAGAGCCGGAGCCAGGGCTTGAACGTTACGGGTTCTAAGTTCAAAGATAACCATGTTAAATATTAGTATTTGAATTCTTAAATTTCTTAAAATATTTAGTGTTAAAACTAAACATAATGAGTTTCAGCTAAACATGTAGCTGACCTTCTAGCTTCGCCCTTCTAAATTTCAATGAATATGGTGTGTTTCTTCTTGATCATGTTTGATTGTCTTACAATAATTGAGAAGTGAATTGTTGTTTTCCTGTATAGTCTTAGGTAAAATCAACTCATGAGGTAGTTTTTAGAGTTCATATAGTTAGGTCTAAATTTTATTTTTTATCAAGCTCTGTCAATTTGCCCATCGGCGTTATAAATGTTTAAGATGTTCCCACATTGGTTGAAGAAATGTATTATTCCCTTCGTTCACTATTACTTGATACGTTTTGACTTTTCACGCCCTTTTAAGAAATAATAAATGAAGTGCATAATTTACCATGATACCCATATTAATTGATTGGATTTGAGAAAATTATTTGAAATGAGTAATAAATATTGTAGGTATAACAGAAAAAAAAAATTGTCTTCACTTGATATGCGTAAAGTTACAAGTAAAAATGAAAATATAATTTTTTAGTATACATGCCAAGTAAAAGTGAACGAAGAAAATATTAATTATCTTCTATTTTTTTACTGTTATCTTATATTTTTAAATTGAGTTAGAACCAAAGTGCATTTTGTTTATGTTTTTACTCGATCGTGATTTCTTACGTATTCGTAAGGAAAAGTCCATGAAATTTTTCTTACTTTAGTTTATATTTTGTATCCATAATTCTCGACATGCCGTTTTATATCATATCTTAGTAAATAGAGCTAAATCTAATATTTGAAGAGCGTAAGAATTAAAGCTTCTAAAATATTTTGTCTGAATATGATTTTCTTATACATTTCCGAATATTTTCTTAAGGTATTGTTTGTAATATTGTTAAGTAGATTTTTAATGTACAGTTTAAGATTTTAAAAGTGGAGCAATCAGTATACAAAATAAAACAAAATTATTGGGGTCTGATCCATACCCTAAACATGTCGTTCATTTTTGGGACCATATAAGTCATAAATTTAAACACTAGATTGTCACGAGGAGTGGTGAGATGAATATGATCGCTTAACTCTTAATCACAAATCTTGATTTCTAGCTTTTAGCATAGAGAAATTCCTCTTGAATAGGCCCTATGCTTATACTATCTAAGTGAGTTTGGTTCACCCGATAATAAAAGAAAATTAATATTCCTTTCATTTTAATTTATGTGAATATGTTTGACTAGGGATGGAGTTTAAGAGAAAAATGAAGACTTTTGGAATTTGTAGTCCTAAACAAGTCACAAAGGAATCCAGAGTATTTGTGTGGTTATAAAAGCTTCTCGTTAAAAATAATTGTAAGTTTAAACTAAATTGTTTTCAAATTTAAAAAAAGATCATTTTTTTTTAAATGGACTAAAAAGGAAATATGTTTAAATAAACTGGAACAGATGGAGTACCAGCATAAGCCTTGATTTGACAACTCATGAACTCTATTCAAACTTTTAAACCTTATCCTTTCCATTATTCTTGACGAATATGCTTACTCTCTAGTTTGATCCCTCTTCTAATCATTCTTCTTTCACTTTCATCATAATTATCAGCTTTGATTTTCTTTTTCTCCCTCCCACTACTTACAAAGCAATTTTTTGTGGGAAAAATATCTTGCTCATACATAAGTTTCTCTGATAGAAAATGGACCACTTCAAATAGATTCATTGTTTCGGCTCAGAATACGATATCCTTATTAGTTTAACGGATAAATTGAATTGTCGGGTATTCTCGACTCACCAAGTCAAACCCTTGCTTGAGTGGTTAGGACCTAACTAAGACTAAAGTTCCATTAAAGAGCGATCTCTTTTATAAGAAAAGATGGGCACGAACCAACGTAATAACAAGACTAACGAAAGCGAAGCTATTGGTTATACAGATACTTTATAGGAGTACAAGATTTTAGTTCACGGAATTAGAGGATTAGTTGTATTCACTCATTTTTTAATTCACAAGTAAAAGATAAAATGAGTAAATGGGGTTGAAATTAACAGTTATATTGTAGGAAAAAAGTATCAAATATATAGGGATGAACAAATATGTAAAATATCACTATAAGACTAGTATCTAGCTATTGCATTGTGGTCCACCTTACTCTATGCTTTATTTTGTCGACTATGATTAAGGCAAGTGGCTACATTATGAAACGATGAATCTACTGCAAATTAAATTAGTGCAATGCGTAAACAAAAGATTGAAAATGGAGACGATAAAATGGTCCCCGACAAAAGGTACATATTAATTATTGTTTCCTGTTTAAGATAAACTATATATATATATATATATAACGACCCAATCAATCGTTTTGAATAATTGCACTTCGCTTGATAGTTTGCGGGCATGCATAGCTCTGTATGATATAGTATGATTTATGTGAATCGTCGGTTTTGGTTTTCAGGTTATTCGAAATCGATTTGGAAGAATGAATTTCATTGTTGAAGCTTTAAGTTGGAAGAGTTGATCAAGTTTGACTTTTGTGAATTTAACCCTGGAATGGAGTTTTGATGGTTCTGATAGGCCCGGATGGAGAATTCAGACTCGGGCATATGCCCGGATTTGCATTCGAATGTTTCTAGAAGATTTCGGCACAAATTGGAGAAAATTGAAAATTCGAAGGTTTGGAAAGTTCATAAGTTTGACCGGAAGCTGACTTTTTGATATCGGATTCGGATTGTGATTTCGAAAATTGGAATAGCTTCATTTTGTCATTTCGGACTTGTATGCAAAATTTGGGTCCATTCCGGGTTGATTTGCTATGTTTCAGCATGAGTTATCGAAATTGAAAAGTTCAAAGTTCATCAAGTTTGAATTTAGGTGTGATTCATCGTTTTGATGTTGTTATGTGTGTTTTGAGGCATCGAATAGGTCCGTGTTATGTTATAGGACTTGCTGGTATTCTTGATCGGGGTCTCGAGGGGCTTGGGCGTGTTTCAGATTGATTTCATTTTTCTTCATGTTCTCATTGATGGTTGCTGCTGGTTCTGGTATGACTACACCTGCGGCTGTTTTGCGTAGGTGCAATGGTCACAGAAACGACAAAGGAGTCGCAGGAGCGGAGGTGTTGCTGGGAGCAGGAGTCCGCAAAAGCAGAGGGTCATTCGCATCTGCGAAGGCGCAAATGCGGTGTAAAAGGGAGCAGAAGCGAACGTTAGCGCAGGAGCGCACTTTGGACTCGCACCTACATGTGCGCAGCAGCGGAGTTTCTACCGCAGGTGCGAAGGCAGACCTCCAGTGCTTCTTTGCGCAAAAGCGACGCCGCAAAAGCGACTAATGTGCCGCAGGTGCGAAAATGCTGGGCAGAATGCTATAAATCGAGGGTTTGGTTCTTTTATCATATTTTGAGATGTGGGACTCGGATTGAGGCGATTTTTGGAGAAATCTTTATCATAAGGATTGGAGCAAGTGTTATACACTTTGTTTTGATTTTATTCCATGAATCAATTTTTATTTTTAGCAATTGATTGATGATTTAAAGAGAAACTGGGGGTTTTAGCCTAAAGTTTCATAATGTGAATTTTTGAGTTTTGAACATCGATTTGGAATCGGATTTGAGTGAAACTAGTATGGTAGGACTATAATTGAATGTGTTTTTGATTTTGTGAGTTTTGTCGGGTTCCAAGGTGTGGGCCCAGGTTGGACTTTTTGGCCGATTTTGGGCTTTTGATTAAAGATTCAACTTTTATCGATTGGGTTTGTTTCCTTTGGTATTATTTGATGTATTTGAGTTGCTTTTGGCTAGTTTTGATTCGTTCAGAGATCGGTACGCGCGAGGTGGTATTTTTGGAGTATCGCTTGGCTTGCTCGATATTGAAAAATTTTGCTTTTTCGAGGTAAGTAACAATTCTAAACTTAGTGGTGAGGGTATGAAACTCCGAATTTCGTGTTATGTATTTGGTGTTGAGATGACGCTCATGCAAGGTGACGGGCGTGTGGGCGTGCACCATGTGAATTATGACTCCACTATTCCTGGGGTACTGTGTCGTTATAGGACCTTACCTGTAATCATGAAATTTCTAAGTACCTGAGCTCTTGAGCTGTGATCCATGTTAGAAATCATGTATAGGCTACATGCTTATTCTGTTGAGACCCACCAGGTCATTTCTGCTGTTGAGCTATCTGCTTGCATTGCATTACATACTCAGTCATACGCATTCATATGCATATCATATCTCAGTCTCTGTTACCATTTATTGATACATCACATCATTATTTTGGGCTAATTTTTCATGTCATTGAGAGCCCGAGAGACTAGAGAGATTGATGACTGAGTGAGGTCGAGGACTTAATTGTGAGAATATTTATGGGATCGGGTTGCACGCCGCAACATGTTTCATTGATTTTATGCCATGATTAGCTTGATATAGCGCTTGAGCTGAAGGAGCCCCTCCAGAGCCTGTACACACCCCAGTGATCGCAGGTACCTACTGAGTGCAAGTGATGAGTGCCAATTCTCGAGTGTCGAGTGATTGGGAGGACTGAGTGGCTGTGAGGACTGAGTGACTGGGATGACTGAGTGACTGGGAGGACTAACTGAATTGATACCCTGAGAGTTAGCATATGGTTTTATCACTGAGCTATATCGCATTTGACATGCACACTTGACGTATAGACATAGAGATGTATTTTTTTCATGTTGTACGGTATCACGTCATTCATGACTTCTTACACATATAAATATACGGGTATAGTGATATATGTTACACTGGCTATCTGGAAAGAAAAATGGAACATCTTATTTATTGTTGAAAGGATTGTTGGAAAAAAATACTGTTTTCAAACTTACTCATATTTTCGACGATTTCGGTAAAGGATTTGGATTTTCACTGAGATACTTGGAAGGCAGAACTATTTTTCGGGAAACTATGAATAAGCTGAGCATTTCATCTCTGAATTACTTCCTTTATTACTTGCTTTACGTTGTTATGAACTGTTGTTGGCTATTGGTGATGGACCCGACCTTTATTCTAGCTTGTTACTACTTTCAACCTAAGGTTAGGTTTTTTAGTTATTGAGTACATGTGGTCGGTTTTACTCACACTACACTTCTGCACCTTGCATGCAGATGTTAGCTGCTGAGGTTGCTTTGTTCGATGGGATCTAGATTTGAAGATGTATCTGCATTCTGGTGGTAACTGCCTCTT